TACCCAAAGGTGTCTCAGAGCGGCTTACAAACTCCTTTCCCTTCCCCTCCCCACAACAGACACCCTGTGAGGTGGGTGGGGCTGAGAGAACTCTGACACAAACTGCTCTTTTTCAAGGACAGCTGTGCCAGAGCTTGTGACTGACCCAAGGTCACATCAGCAGGTGCAAGTGGAGGAGTGGGGAATCAAACCCGGTTCTCCCAGATTAGAGTCCGCACACTTAACCACTACACCAAACTGGCTCTCGAAGAATTTCCTTTGGTCCGTTACGAATCTACTGCCCATCAGCTCCGTCGAATGCCCTCGAGTTCTAGTATTTTAGAAGAGGAAGAAAAAGTTTCATTTGTCAACTCTCTCCACCCCATGCATGATTTTATAAACCTCTATCATGTCTCCCCTTAATCATCTCTTTTCGACACCAGAAAGTCCCAGACTCTTCAGCTTTTCTTCATAGGGAGGTGCTCCAAACCCCTCATCAACTTGGTTGCCCTAATGTTTCCTTTAAAAAAAAATGTAATTGCTGATGATAACAATTTCCATAACAATGATCTCTTATTTACAGACCCGGGTCTGGCCTTCTTTAAGGCTATGTTCTAGACTTGTTGAAACTATTTAAAGAGGAGGTCTGTGGCATCTTGCTTATTGGGGAAATGGTTTCTCTTTTAAGCCACACTCTGTGTACGTGGACTTAGTAGATTTCTGCTGCCACCAGAGATGAAATGAGTATTACACCAGACTGAACTACAATATGATCAGGGCTATTTTTGGGCAGGAACGCACAGGAACGGAGTTCCGGCTGGCTCCCAAGTTAGCCACGCCCAGCAGGAACTCATTAGCATAATAGGCCACACCCAACAGCAGGAACTCATTCGGATTGGCTACATTAGGGGTGTGTGGCCTAACATGCAAAGGAGTTCCTGCTACAAAAATAGCCCTGGGTGTTGACCACAAACAAGGTAAACAGAATAAGGAGCAAAAGGGGGTTTTTCTACAAAAAAAAGCCCTGCCCCTCCTGAAACCACACCACCCCCCACGAATCTCCAGGGATTTCCCAACCCTAGCCACGGGTTACTCAATCCGGCATGGGGCAGTGGGAAAAAAATAGTGACGTCTCCTTCCTCCCCCTTTGCAGTGGCTGCACAGGTGGATCTCCCTGGACTCCGACAGCCACATGCGCTGCTGGTTCTACGACGTCACGGTGAGCCACCAAGACGGGCGCCTCCTCCTGAGCATCAGCAACCTGCAGTCTTGGCACACCGGGCCCTACCGCTGCGCCAGCTCCAACGCCACCGGCAACGCGTCTGTCTCCGAAGCTCAGGACCTGCGAGTGGAATGTGCGTGGGGGTTTTCTCTTCTTGCCTGCCACTGGGGGGCAGTAGAGAAGTGGGAAAGAACAGACGCTGAGGACTAATGGCTTGTGGCATCACTGCCTTTTGCCTGGGGTTGCCAGTACCCAGTTCGGAGCAGGGGATCCTCCGTTTTCGCGGGCTCCTGCTCGCCGCTGGCCAACTGGCTGGTGAGACGAAACCCCCCCCCCAACAGCATATGGAGCAATGTGCCTACGTCACCCAGAAGTGACATAAGCACATCAGTGACATCAGTCTGTGTGGGGGGGCGACGCTCTGGTTTTTGGGCAAAACTCTATGGTTTGAGGCCGATTTTACCACAGAGTTTTGCCCAAAAACCAGAGTGTTACCTTGACTTGCTTACGTCACCCTGAAGTGATGTAGGCACAGCGTGCAATATCACTTCCGGGGGTGGGGTGGGGGGTGCATCCAGCTTCCAGAGTGTCCCTTCTGGCCTGGCAACCCTACTTTTGCCTTGGTGGAGAGAAAACGTACCCCAGAGATCTATAGTAGGGAGTGTGGGTAAGAACAGAATAGGGCAGGGGTCTCGAAACTTTTTGAGCCGGCAGTAGGCTTGCCAAGCCCCCGCTGGCGGTGGGGCAACCCCCGCCGAAACGGCCCCCAGTCCGCCAGCGGGGATTGGGCTGCTGGGGGGAAACCCCACCCTCGAAACGGCCGGATCAGGTCCACGCCCCAGCGTGATGACGCCACCCAG